GGATTTTAAAACTGTTCTTTTACATCATATCAGTGACATTACGAAGTATAGATTAGTTATATCTTGAGGCTCACAATTGCTGTCATTACTATTTACATTTTTATCTTTTAAGCAGTTGTAATGAAATCATGAAGGCCCATACGTTCAGTTATGCTACGCATAGTCTCTGGGTCAGTAAGGGATAGATATTGCAGACAGAGATAGTCTTCCCAGTCCAAGACAGTCTGATCCTGAAAGAGTCCTTTTTCGGCAAGCTTGAGAACCAAAAGAGAACTCTTAAGTAGTAGCCAATTAGAAAGCACAGAGATCTCCATTTGATTCTGCTGAAAGAGTCCCTGTCGAGGACCCCAAAGAAGGGCCTGAAGGACACCCACCACATCGGCTAATAGTAGCCCAGATTTCTCAGATGTAAGCTGGGTGACCAGCCACAGCAAGCATGGAGTGTATGGAGTGCCTTGAGGCACCTTCCACACAGATGAGCAACTGTCATTGAGATGTAGGCAGTACCCCAGCAAAGTCCCCAACTGGAACTCTTGGGATTTTGCTTCTTGCAAAACCTCATCCTCAAAATGACTCTTCAGGACCAAACGAGGTGTGCCCCACTTCTCCCATAAGGTTTGACAAATCTCACTTTTCATCCTTTCGTAGTCTGTGTGCTCTTTGGATACTGTGATCATGGGTATACCTGTAAAAGTTTCTGTATTCATGCTTCCCCTTTTCATCTCACTAGGGTAATCATTAGAGTCAGCCTCTTTGCGCGTGATACTAGGCCACACTAATGTCACACTCTGTGGTTTCAATTCCCTGTGAATGACTTTAAAATGTCCCAGTTGCTGTAGTCCTAGCACCAACTGGAGGGCAAGAAGACAAAGCCTCCTCTCATAGACCTCAGGAAGGGTGGAGTGCAAAGAGTGTCCTTCCTCAACAAAGTCCTCCAGTGTTCCCAATGGAAAGTCTCTTACCACGGTCACACTAACACCTTTCTCCAGAAGATCAGAAACTGTTTGCTGTTGGCATACTTCAGTGGTGTCCCCATGTAAAGGCTCTGGAGTTGTCTGAGCATGCTGTGAGGTGGAAGTTTGATCCGTAGCTGTGCACTGTGGAAAATGGACCAACCCTTGCTCAGTGTTAGGATGTGGCATGGACATGGTGCAGTCTAATACTGAATCCCCTCTGTGAACCTGACAAAATATTTAGGAGTCATTTTGAGTTTTCACACATAAGTAACATGCAACATATAAGTTATCCAAGTCCTTTACCAGAAAACTGCTGCACTGTGACTAAAAACATGCTCTAAAATCTTGGTAGCACATGTCAAACTGTTGATGCTGTTGCTCAACACCTGGTATGATGAAGGAAGTGTGTGTTTTTTTTGTTTTTTTGAGGGTTTTCTACTGCAAGCAAGGGCTGCCTTATAAGGGTGTGCATTCTGCTTGTGGTTCAGGGGCTCTGCCTGGGAAGCACTGATGGCCTACTTACAGCTTTGGATTGAAAACCATTGTGCATTATCGCCCACATATACACAAACAAATTCAGATGGCTACAGTTACTAACTAGATTCCTTGTGCATCTAGTTTAGATTGATGGTCTCTTATGTTATTATACTGTTGATGTTCTTACCTTCGCTGAAAACAGTCTCCCAGGAACCTTTAGACAACGCACCAAGTAGAAACCATCTCTCTCAGTCCACTGCTGCTCACACAAAATAAAGTCATTAGGCTGAGAAGTCTTTGCCATCTCCATTTCCTGTTCATTTAGGAAGACGCTCAATTCAATGTTCTGCAACGTGTTCTTGAGAAACTGAAGATAACACTCTTGGATGCCCATGGAAACTTGCTCATGGCTCTGGAAGCTTCTGAAGACACTTTGAAGTTGCTCATCTGGTGTATCAAAGGTCATCTTGTGCAAGGACAGACCCTGATATTTCTCCTCTTGTACCTCTTCCTCTTGTAGTGTAAGTGTGTCGTGGAATGGTGTTATCATATATAGGGGATTTTCATAGTTGCAGGTTCTTGTATGATCGTGGTAAGGTGGGTCCAGAGTCTCCTCTGGGAGGGATAGGGTTCTCGTCAGACTCTTTTTAGGTACTGGAGGTGGAGTTTCGTCTGAGAAGAATCTCATCTGGTGATTTTCTGAGTGACAAGATATAGGTAATACATTTAGCAATGGAAGACACAACAAATACACATAATGCATGCACACATGCATGCTCAGATGTTGTTTCATGTCATGTATTATGGAACCATGAAATGAAATTCAGTGGAAACTGTCTCAAACTGTCTGAAACACAGACTACATGTGGTTTAGTTGTTTGTCTAGTGGCTTACTGTATTGGTTTCAGGTGTTACTTCCCTCAATAATACTTTTGTATTCAAGAAATAAAGTGTAAAAGAACATAAACAGAAATGGGGAAGGCTACGCATGTGAAAAGTTACAGAAACCAGTTCTTATTTTAGTTCTTTATTACTTGCCTCAGAACCTTTTTGTATTAAAGTATACTTGTAAACATGTTGTCAGTGCTCACCATAGCGATGATGTATTGGACAGTGGACTGCACTACAGTAAGTAGGAGTAAACACTTCAGTAAATGGAGACATGGGGGTCTGTGGTCCAGGCAAGTGTAGATCTCCCACCTTCAGCTCTAGATCCTGGATGGAGCTTGAAGAAGACCTGCTCCTTAACATGTACACATTCATATTTACAAAAATCCAGAAACATTAGAACATTATGAAGTTACTAGGCCAGACCTGCTTCGCTTATGTGATATTTCACTATGCTGAGCGACGAGTAGCTTTCGTGGCATGAGGTTTCCTGTAACACAGCTCACATGTGTGTCAAGTCATAACACTAGCATCTCTTACCTGCGCTGTTTGATGGGCAGTGCAGGTGGCGATGTCCCTCCTGATGCTCCCAGGAGAGTGTAGTCTGTTGCTTGATGCATTGTAGTTTAGCGTGTGACAGCGTGAGCGTTCGTGAATATGGTTCACCCACCTCAAACTGTCAGTTCCTGTACTTTTCTTCTAGTTCATTAGCACGCAGTTACCTCACACTCTTTCTCTGTGGCTGTCTGAGACATTGCCACAGCATATCTAGCATCTGAGGTTGGAAGCGGAAAAGCAGAGTGCATTTTGTGCACATCTGTTCACTGTACTTTCAAATAAGGAAACTATGAAATAAGGAACTAGTTCTTACTGTCATTGGATGACATGCTAATGTAGCTACATTGTGCTCATGTACTGAGAAAAATTTGTGTTGAGAGACGAATCTAAGTGTTTTTTCTCACTAAGGTGGTACGACCTAGGTCACCAAGGTGAAGAGTTGGGCACTGAGCATTTCTATAAATTTGGGAAACATTTTATAATTTTTATATTATATATCTATATTTTCTACAGAACATAAAATTAAGCAACTTAAATTACACCAGTCACAAACCAGTCACTCTTTGCCAAACTGATTTGAAAAGTGCTTGAACGGAGATAACCGTCCACTTTGCAAGATACCAGTGACAAGAATAGATATGTGAATTTTTTTCCAGCATTGTCGTTATCAAGTCACTAGGGGATGCTGTTGTCTCTTTATACACAATGAGCAACCTCGACTTGAGACCTTGTTGTGGCTCAAATGGGCCCAATTAAGAGTTGATTCAGGTGAGTTTCCGATTATTCAGTTTAATTTGACTGCACCATTTACACGGGACTTTTAACAATGCACAATATCCCATTTGAGCCTTACAGAGTGGCACTAGCAGGAACAAAAACCTCCCCACGTCTAAGAATAAAACATTAGGAGGAACCAAAAATCGACACAAAAGGTAGAACCAAGATGTATACCAATTTAAGTGCCTATTAGTCCATTTTTTCTTTCAGTTTGGAATGGTGAATAATGATGACGTGTGACCTGTGTTTGGGTCATATGCAATTTCATATTTTGTACAGGCTGGCCCTTGTTACCCCCTGTTGGTAGATTATGTAATTACACCATATGCACTGTTTAAGGGCTTATCCTGTCCACTAATTGCAAGTATACTGACCTTTAGTATTAATGTTATTATTATTAAATATTGGGATTGCATCCAACTGTTTGTGTTCAGATGTGATACTTCTACATTTCAAAATACAGCATAGTAAAAACATTGTATTAAATACATCTGTAGGTGGACCTAGATCATTCAGCAAAAATAACAAATACAAAAAGTGGTGTCAGACTGAATTTAAAAAGCTCCATATATAAAGCCTCCATTCAAACAGCTCTGTGAACAATCTGTAGTGTCTTCAGATGGCTCTGGATGTAGCTCTTTCGGCTGGATGGTGAGAGTGAGTCAGAGAGAGCTTATTGTTTGGGTCTTTTGTCGTCATTATGTATAGCTCAGTCTGCTTCAGAGTGCTTGAAAACACCCATAGAAGACCTATGACTAAACAGATTTCATACATTTCCTTAAAAGGTGAACACGGTTTATGAAATACTAGCTGCAATAAGACAACAAACAGCTGATGAAAGGATTAAACCTAAGGTGCAAACAGCAATTTGTAAAGTAAAAAGGTGAAATTTTCTTGTTTCTTCCAGAATCCAGTATTTTTTTCTAACATTTTTTGCTCCCACAAAATGGGCATATTTCTCCATAATAGTAATCATTCCATACTATGAACGCATAGAAAATATAAATGACAAAACACTCAACTTTATCATGCAATAGCATAATCTTGGGTGCAGTGTAATTTATGTAGGCCTATTGAAACTTCAAAACAATTATTCATCCAGAACTCTTGTTGTCTTTTGCATTTTATTTTCGACGAGACAACTAATGCACATTAGCCTACTCTACTTATGCTGTCATAAAGTCTAATAAAATCCAAATTAGATTTTTATGTTCTGATGCACAAAATGAGTGCATTTCTTACAAGTCCATTGTGTTCATTAAGTGTAGATCAAAAGATGAACTGCCCATGCCGTTCTAATTTAAGACACGAGTGCAAGGAAGAAGCCCTCATCAAAATGAAAAGAAACAAGGAAAGAGTGCAAGGGTGAGGAGGGGACAATAACAAAGCAAGCATTGAAGAGACCCTGAAGAGGACCCTCATTAAGCTCATATGCTTCTCTCAGTAAAGAGACTCTTCACATGCTGTGGTCCTGAGTGCTGACGGTTCCTTACGCACACATTTTTACCACAGATTTACGTCAGCAGCCTTGTAACGTAGTCACGTCAATACTGACAAACTTCAAACTGTCTTGACCCAAGCGGATTTAATCGTTTTATAGTATAATTTAAAACCAAAGAAACATATTTCCATAAAATGTTTTGTTTAAAATGTGTGTTTGTGCTATATTTCTTTGTAAAAAGTCAGTTGAATTTACATTTGATCTAATGACATTTCTACATTTTAATTGGCTTTCCAGGGCTTTTGGAGTCATTGTAAATCAGAAGACTGAGGCTTTTGAAACAATTTGTATGTTCAAAAAATTTATTTTCTTCATGAAGTCATGGATAACATCTATAATGACTAATCTGAACATTTGGACATGAATGCATAAAATAAATCAATTCTCACACAACAAAACAGACAGCATCAAAAACTAGTTCATTTACAAGGTGCTTGATTGTCATGTTATTGAGCAGCACTGCTCTGGGTTTGTTCATTTGAGGTTTGAATTGAAATCGAAAGACTTTCTGTCTGCTTTGCGAAGAATTCCCCAAAGGCTTCGCTTGCTTTTGCTGACCTGTTTCACTGACTCATTGCTCTGAGCCAGTTGCTTCTCTATCTCGATTCCAGTAACGCTGTGGCTTCTAAAGAAACGATGAGCGACGGGAGACTGATGTGGAGGGGTGCTGGCATGTGTCTGGATGGGTGATGTTCTGACAGTGATGCTTCTTTTCATTTCCAGCTTAGGGTGTCTGGACGGGTTTATCTCTTCATCATGACCCCAACGTCTATGGCCCTGGAAGAAGAGTGCCTCTTCGTTGGCCATTTGTGGGCTTTTGCTCAAAGTTACAAAGCCGTATGGGGTGGTGACTTTTCGAAGGTGAGGTAAAGAAAGAGCCGCTCGGCTGGCAGGGTCAGAGCAATGTTCAGCTTCCACCAGAGAACAGTTGCTCTGAGTTTGAGCCCGTTTGACATCTGAGATGGCTTTTCTTCCAGGTACAGGAGATACACTGAAACCTGAGGATGATGATGACGATGAAACTGAAGATGAAAGAGGATGATAGGATCCACTAATGTCATCAAAGCTCCCCCAGTCCTCATCTTCTTCACCTTGCCGTTCTTTCACTCTGGATCTATACCCATCCTCCAGGGCGAGTTTAGGAATGGTGAATTGTGGGATGCTGTCCGGTGTCACGACGATATTGCGTATGCTGTCTTTACTCCCGCGGTTTTCTGACGCCAGTGAACTTCCGAACGAATTACTTCTCGCGGTGGCCCATTTGAGCGCGAGTATTCCCGCGGAACTGTGTCTGCGCGGGAACGGGAATCCCGCTCTTTCTGACTGGCTTTCGGCGCTCGTCGCCGTGCAGTTTCCAGCACTGATTGTGCGTGAAACCGTCATGTTCTTGTGCAATGCTGCCATTCTTTGCTCTGTCTTACTATATACAATATAGAAAGAGTGTTGTTTATTACCTGCTCGTATAAAGTTGTGACTGAAAGAGCAGCCTCAGAGATTTATAGTCCTCCAGACCCTTCAAATCTGCCCCTCTCTGTTTGTTTCAGATGTGCGTAAATGTGAGGAGGGTGCCGTGAGCGGCGGAAACATGCCCAAATGTGGCTCTCTCCCGCCTGACGGGTCTCCTCCGTGGCTGTCGGTGATAACAGAGACGACACCCTCACGAAATTGTAGTTTGGTAACCATAGTTACTGCAACTACTGTTAATAGAATAAACCGGAAAACAAGACCAAACAAAATGGCATAAAGATTATGAAAACTCTTTGAAGAGATATCCTATGATGTATTAATTTTAAGTCTATTTTAACATTTAAACATTTAACATAACATTTAAATGTTTACTTATAGCATGGTACGTTCATAAATATCCTAGTTACAAATAATTACCATACGCATTTGTACTCTAAGGTAATTAAAATAATGCAATGGTAGCCTATAGTGTGCACAAGGTTTTAGTTTTAGGTTAAAATTTGTATGAATGCATAAGTTATATTTGAGGAATATTTAGCTTTTTATTGTTGTAATTGATTTATTATGAGGTAATTTATTTAAGATAAGTTACACTGTAATTAATTTAAACGAAACGGTAAATGTACCAAATATTAAAATATTATTTGAAATATAGCCTACTTATATGGATTTATATTATTTAAATTTTCATGTTTGTTTTTACCAAGTTTTAAACATGAATTTATTTTTATGTAACAAGTTCTAGTAACTGTTGCTTTGTATGGTTTACCGAACGCGCACATAAGAGTATTTGTGTATTTTTCGCGCATTTCAGGAACCGCATGGCAGTGGTTTGAGTCTTACCTCTCAGATAGGTCCTTCAAGGTATCTTGGAGAGGTGAGGTGTCCAAGTCGCAACAACTAACTACTAGGGTGCCTCAGGGCTCAGTTCTTGGACCGTCGCGTTGGATAAAAGCGTCTGCTAAATGACTAAATAAATAAATACTTTATTTTTAATATGTAGTGCGCAGTGTGCAGTACACAGCCGTGTCTCCACGCATGCGGACACGCGCGCAAACCGCAGTGGGCTGGAAAAATGCACCTGTTTTAATCAGCACGTGCATGGCTGCCTGGTAAATTGGCGGTGAATCGGTGGATTAGTTTAGAGAGCACCGAGATGACTAGCCACAGCAACTACACCGTTGAGTCTGAGAACACTGAGGGCCAAGAGGCAAGTTTATTTGATTACGTTTATTTCACCAAGATAAAACAGTGTTAATTTTGTTCCTACGAGACGTTCAGGACAAAATGAGCGTTTATAAAGACAAAACTTTTGTTCTCAACAGAAGAAAGCTGTGGCGAAGCGAGGTGGGGTCGTATCAGCCATCTTCTGTCGAATTTCACAGTTTTGGCCAGTCAGGTTTACTGTGAGTAGTTCTTAATCGCTAGTGAACTAAATAAGCGATGCACCCCGGGTCGGAGTACTTGTTTGGGTTGGTTAATACTAGTCTGTTTGCGCATTTTAAAGACATTTTAAATGAGCAAAACAGACTAGTATTAACAGTGTAAACAACATTTTGGCATTATAATTTTTGTATTAACTTGATATGTTATTTAAATAAAAATTACATTGAAAATAAAACTAGCCTAAGGTGGTCTGCTGGTCTCAATGGACACACACACTTAATCTATGCATACTGGGAAACCAGCTAAAATATAGGCTAAAGCACCAAGCTGGCAGAGAACAGCATAACCCAGCTAGTTCCAACGAACCAGATTCAACTGGATTTATTTCTTTACTTTTACTTACTTGTGCACTTTGTTTTTGCTTTTTGTGTGTAGGTTAAAAGCTGCATGCTGGTACTTGTTAGGTTAGTACTCAGTGTACTCATTTAAAATGTTAGATTATTAAAGTCCCCATGAAATCAAAATTTACAATATTTATTTTGTTGGTGCACATTGTTAGTTTTACGGTGAACAATTAATCCATCCAAGTTAATCCTCTGAAAAAAATTGTTTGTTTTGGTAAGTTTGTTTAACTTAATCTGCCTTATTTTGCAACCCAGAAGAAAGCTGTTGTGCCACCAACCAGTGTCGATAAATTAAAATTATATTGTAACAAATACCAGTTTGCAATCAGTGTTATTTTAGTTACATTAAGATACTGTTATAGTTTAACATTTTTAAATCAGTTTGTTTTTATATTTTGTCTTTTTTTAATTTTAAAGTAAATTTTTTTTAAATCTTATTTTAGTAGCTTTTATCTAGTTATAATTTGAATTAAAATGTTAGTTATTTTATCAAGTTAAACTAAATTAAAATGTTAACATTTCCTTTTTCAGTAACGAGAAAATGTTTGTTTTTAATTTGTTTACCCCTATTTTAATAACAATTTTTGCATTATCAAGCTGCATGATGGACTATTTTTGTACAGACAAAATAACTGGCAGCACATGGCACAGAAAGCCTTGCACATTCAAGTTACAAATGTCCATGGCCAATCTTGCATTTAAAGGAGTTCACCCAAAAATGAAAACTGTCATTTGCTCATCCTCAAGTTGTTTCATCAGTGTGTAAGTTTATTTCTCCTGTTGAGCACAAAGGAAGATATTTTTGGGGGAAAAAGTTGATGGCCCTCATATTTTTTCCATATGGAAGTCATTGGGGACCATCAACTGTTTGTTTATCCATATTCTTTAAAATATCTTTTGTGCTCAACAGAAAAAAAAAACTCCTATAGGTTTGGAATAACCTGAGGGTGAGTAAATGACAGAATTAAAATTTTTGGGTGAATTATCCCTTTAAAAAAAGGTGGATACTGTATCTTGAGTAGATATCACTGATCTATATATGATCTCTATTTTATATACACACACACACATCTATATTTTTGTTTGATCTCATACACCTTTTCTTCAGATGCGGGGTCTCCGTGGCTTGTGGTGGCTATTTGGGTTCTCCGTGCCAGTGAAGGCCATCTCTCCGGCTCGGGAGGACAAAAGTGGCTCCCCGAAAGAAAGGCAGTGCAGAACAGTCCGGAAGCGTCTCCACAGGGTCACACGGCTGCTGTTGGCCATCCTTCCCAGGCGTATCCAGAGCGCTCTGGGTTATCCGGTCTGCACCAGCATTGGCTGTGCTGTGTCTCCTGGTATGATTATCCCTTTACTTCAGGTTAAAATCCATTTTGAGATGAAAAAAATGCAGCAGCTGTGTGTTTGTTTCTGCTCTAGAGGTGCGTTATTCCCCTACCAAGCCTTGTGGCAAAGGCAGCAAGAGAAAACAGGATGACTTGGATGAGGAAGAGGAGGTAGAGCAGCATTCCTGGGTGGAGGCGCTCAATCAGGAGCTGGCTGAGGAAGACCACGCAGCTGATCCGGACTATGAGGTTTGCTTTTCCAAAATCCCATTG